TAGTCTAAATCATGCCAATAAGATAACACCAACATTATAATCACTTAAAACCAATCTAAAACCCTCTAATGACAAAATATTGTATGACAATGAATTAAGCTATAAAGAATTTGAAACAGCATAATCTTCTTTAAAAAAAAATAAATCCCCAGGATATGATGAAATTCCTAGCAACATAGTTATTTTTAACAAAACTAGCTAAAGCAAACCTTTATTTCATATACTAAAACTTGACTTGCTCAAAGTGGATTTTTTTAATATAAACAAGGAGTTATAATAGCGTAGCTTCAGGGAGAACGAAGTTAAAAGACGTCATTTATCAAAGAACAGTCTTTGTAATATTTGTCTGATTTAACTTAATTTTGTTGTAATGTATATACTTTTATATTTTGTTTTATGAGATTCCATATGTATACGTGCATTGTAATAATATTATACAATGTTAATCAGAAAAAACAAAAAAACAAAAAAAAACATTGGGTCATACAGGGTGATTTTTGTCTGCTGGGTAAGGTTTGCTTCAAGCTTAAGGTGGTTATCAGGTAAAAAAATTATTTTTTGATTGCCAACTTAATCATATACCAAAGTTAGTTTAAAAGAAACATACTTATTAATATAATTAAAAATGATAAAAAAAAAAATAATTTCCTTTTTTTTTTTGCTGAATCAGCATAAAATGCAAAAAAATCAATGAAAAAAGAAAACAACATTTTCTCAGCCTCTTTATGACATTATAAGCCAAAACTTACAACACTGATAGATTATAGTGTATTAAACAAAAGCTTACTAGAAAAACTAAAAATAATTATTATTTTTAAAATGGCAGCTTTTTCAATTTTAACGGAAATTATTGATACAAAAAAAAAAGGTAAAATATGAATATATTCAAATGGAAACAAGCTTAAGATTAGTTCTAGTAAGCTATTGCAGTTCTATCTATAAAGAAACAACCCTGAAAATTTGAACTCAATTGCATATCTGGTTAAAAAGATATGAATGATTCGCTTATTGCAGTCAGGCAAAAACAAACAATTGAGAAATCAAGCTTCAAAGTTTAAAAACAATTTATTAATTAAAAATTTCCTGTAATATAAGAGTCTACTCCCTCTTTTTCTTTCTCCTTATCAATATAACCCTTCCTGATACATCTCCTTTTCCTTCTAGCCCTTTTTTGCTTTGGAGTTGAATTTTTAATCGTGTTCTTTACTCTTGATACGTCCTTCTTCCACGATCCTTGGATCATAAAACTTCCAGGCAAGAGCTGCAAATAATCAAAAATTCTTGTGAAACCTCTCAAACCATCATTGTAATTTATTACAGCTGAAGCAACACCAAGATCTAGTACCTTTTTAGTAACAAAAATATTTTTTGGACACTTTTTCCAGATTATCTGGTTGAAAGCCTCATTTGGATTTTGTGTTGCGCCATCCAGGCATCTTGATAACAAATCATCTGACCGTAGTGCCAAGAATGTGTCTTTAAGAATACTTTTAATAGCAAGAGGCAAATTAATTGATGGTTTATAATTTTTGTCATTCTGCCAATACTTGCACCAGCTTTCCTTTGTACGTGGACAAAATTGATGTCTCTCTTCGCTGTTGCTTATATTCGAGCAATGCCACAATACAGCCAAAACAGATTTTTTCATATTGTACAAGGCTATAGTACGGTCTCCACTCCATGCTTCTAAGGTATTTTGCCTAATGCTCATGCCATAAAAATTTTGCATTTTATTAATGATCTTATCTGTCAACCTTCCTTTCCCTGATATAATTTTCCCATCTTCTAACTTTTTACCCTTTAAGGTGGCACACAACTGAAAACAAGTTTTTTTGTAAATAATCAAAATTTAATTTTTTTTTTTTTTTAATGACAATTAATTTATATTAAAATAAAATAAAAAACAGACAATTTTTTTTTTAATCAATTTTATTATCCATAATGGCCAAAAATGTGTTGTAAAACATGTGTTTTTAGTAAGTCTTCAAAACCTAATAACTTAATTTTCCTCTAACAACTGAAACTAAAATTTTGAACATAGCTTCCTAATCATATTTCACCCTATTTGACCGTGGGAATTTTTATGATTTAAATTATTTCATGAAATATTGCATTTCTAACAAAATCACCTAATATATATATGAAATATCAATAAATATAGCACTATAAACAACAATATTTCACTTTCTATAAATTTTTATGAAAATTCTGAGGGTTAAATGAAGTATTATACTATGATAAACAAATCCTGAAAGATTTATTATGTAATTCTGTTTTGTTAATGAGAAAATGTGTTTCAAAGTATAAAAAAATACATATTGAGAAAAAAGCAATAATAAGAAAAAAATATATAAGAACATAAAAATTATCAAAAACACTCTTGCTCTAAAATAAAATTTTGAATTATGACTTTTAAAACGGAAAACTAACAAAAATCTGCGTATAACAAATTAAAACCAAGTTTGTGATGGTGTTTTACTGTTTTGAATTCAGAAAAACTCTTATGACTGATGGTTGCTAAGGCGTTGTTAGGGAATTTATTTTCAAGTGTCATCTACTAAAATGATATTAAATCAACTTTTATATCATTTTTGAGACAAATTTTTTTTTTATATGTTCAAGGAATGGTTATAGAATCAAAATACCCAAAAATCTAAAAATTGATTTTTTTCAAAAAACTTGCTTTTTTTCAGTTGTGTGCCACCTTAAGTCACATCGCATTTGACGTAACCGGGTGCCTAGGCGTTTTTGGACATGACCAACGCACTCTATTTTTACTGGGACAAGATCTTCTCCATATGGCTTTGCCTTTACAACATTTGTATAAGATTCAGTATCTCCATCTCCTATATAATGAGAATAGCGAACATTGTACTTTGCCAATGATTCCGTAAAAAATGATAAAGCACCTGCTGATTCCATGGCACCTGATGATTTAAAGTGGTTAAGGTCGCAAACATGTGTCTTCAAAAACTTTCCATAACCGCTCTTATTTCTCTTACTTTGCCACAAAGCACAGCCACGACAAAACTTTGAAAATACTTGGTAATCGACAACTTTACGGTTAGCTTTTGCAACAGCAGTGCATACACCATTTAGAGATGAATGACCACGTTTCTGCCATGAACCGTCAATTCCAATTTGTATATCAACAATATCATTTTCAGCAGCATTTGGAAAATCTCTTTTTCTTATCTCTGTCACAGCATCCTTCATGCTATCACAAGAAGCAGCTTCATAAAATTTTAATAGGTCAGAGTTTATTTCATTATACGAGAACAAACTCATTGGTGGGGGCATATTCAAAATAGATGCAAATATTTTCATTGCCTCGTGACCTTGCCCAATTTCTCTAAAGGCCATAACAGTTCTAACATTAATTTCTTGAGATTTTACTCCTCTGGTATCTCTATCAGGTATACTAAATGCTCGAGATGAATTAAAGAAGTACGTCCATTCACAAGTTGCACATTTAATACAAAATTGTATTGAAAATCCCTTGGCTTTTTCATCGAGATATTCAAGAGCAATATCCTTTGAATTGCATTCACCACAAGATCCAATGCTACAAATTAAATCTTTAAACATTGGGAAATGAAAAAAAAAGAAAAAGTCGTCGTGTTTTGTTAAAGGTTGATCAGCTTTATCTATGGAAATGTTCAACTTTGTTGAACTAGCACATGGCAATATATTTATTCCATCATTGTTTGTATCTTTGTCAGGCTTTTGCAAAAAAACCTCAACTGTTTTCTTAGTATATCTATTACCTTGAAAAACTCGTTTAACTTTTCTATTTTTAAAACTTTTATTCTTTGCCATAATAAAACTTTTTTTAACAACTTTAAACTTTTTTCTTTCTGCTTAACAAATAACATCAAAACATACGGCTTTGCTAAAAATAACTCTGGTTCAAAAGTTTAGTTAATTATACAGACCCATGAAAAGAAATAATTGTTTAAATCTAGGTCTTTGGGTAATATATCTATAAAAAATTATTGGTTGCTATGCGGTTGTTAAGTAAATTTTTTTTACTCTTACCAACTAAAACAATTTTTTTACATTTTTTTATTAATTAACCCATATCATGTTATATATGGTTAAAAAGCCAATTAAATTTTAAACAAAGTTGGCTGATAAACTAAAAAACACATTTTTTCACAAAAATCGCTGTTTTTTTACCTGATAACCACCTTAAGTGTGTTTAAAAGATCATTTTAATATAAAGTATGAACTTACCAAATAAATAATGAAATCAAAGATTTGTTATGTTCATTTTTGTTATTGTATCTGAATTATGCAAATTCCAAAAGTATAAGTTTTTTAGTGGATGTTTAAAAAAAAGTAGCTGTAATTGAATACTGGTATCAAATCTTAAATAAGATCAAAGTTTATTGATAGATCCAATTGATAAAAGTTTCTAACGTTTACAAATTGACTAATTAAAAAATACATTCACCAATAAAGAGATTCTATTTTTTCAGACGATTTTTCTTCAGGTTAGAAAACTTTTTATCTTTAGTTTCATTTTAATAGAGGTAGGTGTTAATTAATTAAAAAAAAACTGCCAAGTCTAAAGCAAATCTTAGTTTTAAAAATTGTTCTCCAATTTTCAACATTATAATTTATACTCTTATGTTTGAATATATTTTGAATGGCTCAAAACTTTGCAAAGCTGCCACAAGCTTTGAGCATTTAATAAAAATTTAATTTTATTTCGACACATATTTAAAATATAATCAAACATAACAAGTTTTTTTAATAAAAGAAATTTATTGACAACAAGTATTTCCCAAAAACTAGTAAAAAAAGCAAACAGTTAAATACTTCATAAGCTAAAGGTAAAGCCTATTAAAAAGTATTTATTTATTTTCAACCTCCTCTCCTATCTAATCATTCTGTAATTTATTCCCCAAATTTATCATCAATTATTTATAAAATATTAGTATGTGAAACATTTTTAAACAAAATAATAATTTGTTATTTTGACTCATTGTTTTTAGATAGCTCGAAGTATTGGGGCACAATGTATTACTGTTTTTGCTGCAAACCCAATAACGGTAAAGATTATCTCTAAACTTAACTATCGGAAAATTAAAAGCAAAGCGTGGAATACTTTTGAATTTAACGGTAAAAAATTATTTGCTGAATACCAGAACGGAGCAGATTACGCCACTACTGTCTATTTAGATTTAACAAACTGAAGATTTTTAGTATGTGTAAGTTTACACTGAACTGTCGCATAATGTATTTAAAATACTTTAAATAAAATGTATTTGGGAAGTTTTTAATTCTAACTTTTAAATTTATTCAACTTTACGCGCAGCAATAATAAACAAAACGCACTCGTATCCAAAAAAATACGTGTCTAAAGCACGCGCAATTTTACACGCGCGAACACTTTTTTTTCTAATTGAACTTCTTGATAAAGGGGGTTGTTAACATACGGTTTAATCAATTTTTTATTCTGTTATTAACTGTCTACCTGTATTCATTCTCCAAATACATCATCAAGGTATCCAATAACACTTTTTTTTTTTTTTACAATTATTGTTAGAGATCAGATTTCTAAATTCTTTCCGTTGTAAGATCAGATTTCTAAATTCTTCTACACAATCTTTTGGACAACCTTGAAGTGCATTTGGATGTACCTAGTGCAGTCATATTCTTATTATTATCGCTTATTTATTAATTAACAATTAAGATTAATGTAATTGTAAGATACATTTGATTAACAAGATTCAGTGATCGTATAGATGCGAGTAAGATGCGAGACGTATTCGTTTATCAAGAATATGATGATATTATTGTTTTCGCTTGAGTCATGCGATTCAGAAGAATTAGTATTTTAATTTAAGTCATAAAGACCATAACCAAAGAAAAGTTTAAAATTTGTATTTATTTATTTTTGTTTTTTCTAAAATCTAAATTAAGTTCAAAGTTCTTCAACAGCGGTTCTCGGTGACAAGACCTGTATGGTCATATTCATGACCGGCTACCTATTCTTGGCAATCGAAAAGAAGTATCAAGTTGAGTCATCGGCAAATATAGAGCCACTTTATCTGTAAAATTATCAGGAAGATCATTAATGTAGATTAGAAGCAATAGATGACCAAGAAAAGAACCTTGCGGTACCCCAGAAGTGACTTAAAATAGCGACGAGTGTTGGCCTTCAAGGATGACTTTAATACTGGGGTTAGAATGATTAAAATAATTTATTTTAATCATTCTAACCCCATTCTAGCGATAATTGGAAGGGTCAGAGTGCACTCCAGAGATTTCAAGAATTGTAAAGAGGCTATTTTAAAGCAGGTAGGAAAACAAAATTTAGTCAAGCATTTACTATTAAATTTTTTTGTTTTCTGAATCACAAGCCGTATACGAGTTAAATTGAGAAATGACTTTAGCTAAGGAAGCCGGAATGATTTGAGTGTTTAATAATTGGTTAACGTGTTTATCTAGGATGCTGGGCCATTAGATTTTAAAAAAAAATTTTATTGTTGGTATATCAATATGACGTAACTTCATAATTTCAAAGATTAAGACAGTGTAGCATTAATATTTTAAAAAACTAACTAAATAAGCTTTATGGTTTAAATCTAAAACTTGCTATCCCCTGGGTCCTCTGAATTATAAAAAAACTCTTCCCCCCCCCCCCCCCATATCTTTCTCCCTTCCTGGATGGTCTTAATTCACCGAATCAAAAAAATCTAAAAATTTCCCCCTTCTCTTACTAGATAGTCTGGATCCGCCCTGGTCAGAAGATCCAGTATTTATCCATTTATCAGAATTATACTGCTACCTCTAAAGACTTCTGGGTAATGTTGCAGAATAGCGGCGTAAAATAGTTTTATTTTTTTGCTTGTTGCGCTTTTGTCTTGTTGACTTGCTCAAAGTGGATTTTTTTAATATAAACAAGGAGTTATAATAGCGTAGCTTCAGGGAGAACGAAGTTAAAAGACGTCATTTATCAAAGAACAGTCTTTGTAATAAGTTACTACTATAACAGATAACAGGTAGAACACTTCTTCTAGCCTTTGCTTTCAAAGTGAGTCTTACAAACCACCAGTACATGGGACTAGATCGCATGTTACCAGGAGAAGGATGATCGTGATGATCATACGCCTGACTTAGTTTCCAATCATGTTTGTGAAAGTTTCTGTAATGTCAAGTTTTTATTTAAGTATGACAATATGAAAGAATTAGAGCAATTTTTTGCAAGCAAATGTCCTTTTCTCAACATTGAAACATTTAGCATATTAAGATTATTTTAATTGTGATACTTTCGCAATAGGAGATGTAATCCATGATTTACAATTTCTACACATTTAAAATCTATAATTATTAACAATTGTTGCTCATTCGCGGGTGTTTGATACAAAGCTTTTTAAACTCCAAAAAATCGCTAATGAAAAAGTAGATAAAAAAAATATCAATAAAAATCTTTGTAACCTTAAAAATAAATAACAATTTTGGCAGTAATACTACCAGCAATATTTTCAAAATCTTATAGTATGTTCATAACAAGATTTTGTTCTTTCCTAAACCTACAAATAATTACTTTTTTTTTTAACTGACACTTTCTGCTCAGCTATTTTGACATATAACGACCTACAAATCATAATATCTTGCTTAAAATGATGGTAAGTTATGGGATAAAAACATCATCTGTGACTGGTTCAAAAATAACCTTCACAACAAGCAACAATATGTTATTTTAGACAATTATAAACGCTCAAAACTACTAAGAAGAAACTACTAAGAGAGCTCCTAAGGTTTCATCATTAGACTCTTTCTTATAAATATTATCAACCTCGCAAAAATTTCTAAACTTGATGTAATAATGTTTGCCGGTGACACAAAATTATTTTATTGCTCGAACTCAATCAAAAAGCTTGAACAATGAGTTAAAAGATTAAAAATCAGGTTGATGTTTAGTAAGTTTTTTAATAAAATACAGATAAACAAAATACATATTGTTTCAATCCAAAAAACAAAAAAATAATATACCAACTATACTTTTTTCGCTAAAAATAGGTAATGAAAATATCGATAGAACAGAAATCATTCATACAACAGATATCATTCAACGAGAGCAGACGCGTTTTAAAGCTTGGAAATTTTTTAGCTGAAACTAATGTCTTTGCTTTTTATATTATTTCTATTTTCTGAGTTTTATTGGTATCGTTTAAATTTTTATCATGGATATGAAAAGTATCGAAAATTTATTCTCTGAAATGCTTGAAAAGCGAAAAATCGATATTCTTAACGAAACTAGAAAACTATTAAAAGACCGCGAAAAAATATTTGCTTCAATAACAGCTGCAAACATGAAAATTATTACTGAACGACTTGATAAGAACGATAAAGATAATATTGATAATTCAAATAAAGTAATTAACATTACAAAGGAGCTTGAATTAACGAATAAATCTATAACGATGTTGGTAACCGAATGCTGTGAAATGCAGAAATTCATTCACACAAACGATGAAATTATCTCAGGTAAATTAGAAATACTAAAGAAAAAAACAAAAGAAATTAATAACAAGATCAAAGATAATAGCGAGGTCGCAAAAATAAAAAGTAAGCTTAGGGAATTAGAAAACCGCTCAGGAAGAAATAACTTAAGAGTTGATGGGTTAAAAGAAAGTGGAAATAAAAAGTGGAATGAGACTGAATTAAAAGTGCAAAAAAAGTTCGAAGATTCACTAGGATTGAAAAATATAAAAATTGAACGGGCCCATAGGACTGGGATTAGAGACTCAAAAAAGATTAGAACAATTGTTATTAAACTTCTAAATTATAAAGATAAAGTTGCAATTTTAAAAACTGCCCATAAATTAAAAGGAAAAAATATTTACGTTAATGAAGATTACTGCGCTGAAACAATGCAAATAAGAAAAGATCTACGAGAGCGACAGAAAAAGGAACGAGAGCTTGGCAAATTCGCGACAATATCTTACGATAAACTTATCCCAGTGGGCACAGGACGTAAAAAAGACGTCCTTAGGACGTTCAAATCGCGTCCGTCCGTCCCATTAAAATTCTAAACGTCTTTTGAACGTCTTATTCGAGTCCAATAATTTTTTCGTCCAAAAAATATCCAGAATGCTTTATTAAATAAAAATAAATCAGTTAAATCACGCAAGCTTCAAACTTCATAAAATTTTTAAGTAACGCATTTTTAATAAAGTTTTTTTCAATTACAAAAGAAGTCTTTTTACAACAACTAATAGACACGTTCCATCTAATTTTTATTTTTGTTATCAATTGAAAATTGTGGTAATATGGTAATACATGTAATGAAATTTTTACAGATAATGAAAGAAACGGTTTAAAACTGAATATATGCTATACTATGTATATATATACTTGATATACTATTAGTATAGTATTGCTATATCAAGAACCAAGTTCTAACAATAAGATTTAGACATCTCATGCAGAATCGAATTTTTCACGAACGGCTATTTCCTGAGATCGATCCCTGTTTTGATTGGTTAAAAATTTTGAGTTTCGCAGAGTCCGATTTTAAAACATCTCGTTAGCCGGACTGTAAGACTTGAGGAAATTTTTAACGCATGCGTTGTTTTAGTAGGTTTAAATTCTAAACCTTGTTTTAAATTTAAAAACAACGCGCGTTCTTCTAATAGCAACTACTTTGGTGAACTTAAAATTTATCAGAACTTGTTTATTAAATTTGAAAAATAATAAATTACAATGGTGAGTTTTTCTATTAATTATAATAATTCTTATATGATGAAAAAAGATTATAAAAATTCTTTTATTACAAAATCTTATATTTACCTTCATTCAAAATAAATATAATTATATTTATTTTTGAATGAAGGTAAATATAAGACTTCTATATATTGTAAGGAAATTATATATTATAATATGTTATATATTATAAGGTTATATATATATATATATATATATATATATATATATATATATATATATATATATATATATATATATATATATATATATATATATATATATATATATATATATATATATATAAATATATATATATATATATATATATATATAAGG